TGCGCACACTCGCTGTGCCTCCAGGAAAGGTTTCTCAAAGCCTGCTGCCTTAAAGACCTTCTGGCCAACACCTCGGCCATTGGGGAAGAGCTCGACTAAAAGGAGAGCACAGTCAGGGTGGGGTTTCTGGGGGCACCTGCCAAAGCTCCATGGCGCAGAGACCTCTATGCTCCAAACAGAGCCCAGGCCTCCCATATAGGGCCTCAGCACACCAGGGAGGACAATGGTTAGACCCCGGCTCTGCAGTGCGCTCTGGGAGGTGGATCTGCCTGTCTAGTTACAGGTGAGGACACTGGGCTCAGAGAGGTTAAGTGAGAAGCTCAACTCCATGTGACCATCATCACATGCTGAGTTGGGGGTCACCCTTATCTGATCTCACACTAGAGCTGAGACGTGCTCTTTCTATTGCACCTATGTTGCATGGCTGAGTCGGTTTCCCAGTTACTGAGCGGGACAGGGAAGCTTTGCCATCGTGCAGAGAAATGGCATCGTGGCCTCTGAGACCTGGAAACAAGGAAGGTGCTCACTGATCTCACTGTGGACCCTGCATAACAGCAGGGCATGAGGCATTGACAGGGAGGTTTGTGCCAAGTGTGGGTGTGGGAAAGAAGAGGAGAGGGTGGGCCATCTGAGGGCAGCGCTGTGCTAATCTCTGCACTGTGTGTGCCCAGTGCTGGCCTCTAGGTGTGCATGTGGGGGAGGCTGGAGAGCTGGAGAGAGGACAAGGACAGCTGAGAGGTGTGCATGGGCGTCAGGGGCAGGAGAGAGTCAGTGCTGGAGAGAGGCCTGTCTGGGAGTCAGAGGGCCAGGTGTTCAGCCCCGCCTTGGCCATGACTGTCCAGGTGGACAAGGGAAGTCAGTTCCTTTTTGAGGTTTCCTGTTCCTCATCTCTAAGATGGGAATTCAATTTATAAAAGCATCACCTGTGTGACATTCACCGATATGGTTTCATTCCATCTCATTTTCCATTGTGTGTGTGTGTGTGTGTGTGTGTGTGTGTTTGCTTTAATATATTGTTATTGATTTTAGAGAGGAAGGGAGAGGAAGAGAGAGATAGAAACATCAGTGATGACAGAGAATCATTGATTGGCTGCCTCCTGCACATTCTGAAATGGGGATCAAGCCCACAGCTCAGGCACATGCCCTGACCAGGAATCGACCCATGATTTTCTGGTTCATAGACCAACACTCAACCACTGGGCCATGCTGCCCGGGATCATTTTTCATCCCTTTGACTTCTGGGTCCATGCATAGAAGCCTTCAGGGCTCCTGAGAGGGCTGTGCTCCAGCCCCAAAGGGCTGGTGAGGAGCCCAGGCTGCACCCCAACCCACCTGACCCTTTCACAAGGAGGGCACCCAGGCTCAGGAGGGCACCCAGAGCAGCCCTGGACAGGAGTTCATCTGCCATTCACTACATGCACCCGGCTGGGTCTGTGTGTGCACACACAAACATGGCCACGTGCCCATCTGAAGGTACGTGGGAGCACTAAAGGCCCACCTGGGTGTGTGTGAATATGCGTGTGTGCTCGTGGGTGTAGATGATGTGAGGTGAGTGATGGCATGTGTGTAATACACACACATGTGGCAGGTGCATATCACAAATTTTCCTATGTTTGCATCAGTGTGCATGTGAGGGAGTGAG